CATTGCGCATCATTAGTCCCGGGACGGAGCTCCAGAGCCTCAGCCTACGGCGATATGTTGCTGTACTAACATACACGTACAAACTACACCTCCTCACCGGTCCGATCCCCACCCGGCCGACTCAATTGCTAGCAGTCCTCCCACCAAGGCTGGAGCCCCGTGACGCCACTCGCACTCGAAACGATATCCGCACGGCCACCGGCCACAGTTACCAGCTAAAAAAATCCCCTACCGCGTCAAGCACCAGGCACCATTTTCCGCAGTTTCCCGCATTATGCAATCCAGCTGTGGAATTCCCTGCCGCCAGCCTTTCTAGACTCCGCCCCAAATCGCAAAAATCTTCAAATGTTTAGATTCAACGTCAACGAATACCCCCGCCGACAGGATTGGCGATGGTCCACGGACATTCTGCCTGTCGACCCACCTACATTCTAGTGCCCCGTCAACGACTCCCATTGCTACGATGCTGTGCTGCACACCAGCTGATGTTAACCCTTGCTTTCTTTTTATTTTGCTGACCCTTACAGCTCTAAAGCCTCTATCTTCTGTTTTCGGTGCGTGTTTCTGGCCGTGATGCCGAGACCTCAGGTCGGCAGAGCCATCAATGCCCCACCAACATTGCTGCGTCTCGGTGCAGCCCCACTCAGTAGTTGTCACGTTTTCACTTGTCTCATTACCATTGTCTTTCATTATTTAATTTTACGACTCCGAGTTGGGAATGTGAACATAGTAAAAAAAAAACCGAGTTTCATCATCTTGCTACAGACTAGACTACTGTAGTGCGGATTCTTTGAAGAACATCACACGGGGACTTACCATGTAAGCATGCAGAAAGTACAATCATGTAAGTACTTAGGTGAACTGAGCTACATTGTAATTTAAGTCCTTTCGGAGAATGCCGCTATCATGCAGTAAAACAAAGTAATTCTGGTGAGCTAGGTCCCAATGTCAATCAACACAACAGACATACGACGACCCCGAGGACGACCACGTCTGAGATGGATCGACGTTGTCAAGAAAGACTTACAATGCATTAATCTGTCGCTTCTGGATGCTGTGCAATCTGCTTCTGATAGAGCTGCTTGGCTCGAAATTGTTAACAGATGCGTTGACCTCATGCAATGAGTGATGTGCGAACTGTCATTATTATTATTATTAAATATTGCGACAGAGCTTTCGGCCATTGTTGCTGCATGACAGCACTGACTCACGGCACCCTTTTGGTTTGTGCTTTGCCCGATTGGGCACCCACTGTAAAGAGCACGATACAACACTTTTCCATACATGTCCGACTCACTTCCCACACTATTTTTCCTATAATCACACAACTCCCGAGAACAGGGACAGATCAATAAAGAACACCTTCTAACCAACAAGAGAATTAGGAGCTTGTGTCTGTGACGAGGGTTGTGCCACGGGGCACTAGGATCTCACGAAAACATTGGTCCTTCGAGCCGGATCTGAACCAGCGACCTAAAGATCTCACGAAAACAGCCATATTTTCAACTGCTGAAGAGCGCGTGGTTGTGATGAGTTGGGAATGCAATGAATTATTATTATTATTATTATTAGGTACTAGTACCTGAGAAAGTGAAAGAGATACACGTAGAGGTAGAGACTGACAAACAGACAGGCAGATAGATAGACAGACAGATAGATAGACAGACAGGGACAGAGGGAGAGAAAAGGGGAGAGAGAGAGAGAGAGTAAGTTACATTTATAAAGACAGGTAAGTCTAACAAATGAGGACTGAGACCTCTACAACAGGGTTTTACGCCTGAAAGCAGGTGCATGATTTAACAAGCAGGTGAGAGAGAGAGAGAGAGAGAGAGAGAGAGAGAGAGAGAGAGAGAGAGAGAGAGAGAGAGAGAGAGAGAGAGAGAGAGAGAGAGAGAGAGAGAGAGAGAGAGAGAGGGAGAGAGAGAGAGAGCGAGAGAGAGAGAGAGAAAGAGAGAGAGAGAGAGAGAGAGAGAGAGAGAGAGAGAGAGAGAGAGAGAGAGAGAGAGAGAGAGAGAGAGAGAGAGAGAGAGAGAGAGAGAGAGAGAGAGAGAGAGAGTGAGAGAGAACGTGAGAGGACAGATTTTAGTCCTAGGATCGCTGACTAGATTGGGCCACACTGGTAACGTTACAATTGGCTATGTTGAAGAGAATACGTGAATCTGTTTTATCCAAATATGCCAAGTCCTAATATAAGTACACACACACTAATACAATCACATAGCAAATAACCGGAGAATTTTTATTTTTTTTTATTTTTTTACAACGAACACAAACCCGGCTCGAGACAAAAAGAAGAACAAGAAAGAACACAAAGTTGCATGCAGGGAGAACGAAGAAACGACTAGAACACAGAAGTTGTGGGTTGACAGAACAAACAACTATTGAGTCGGGGCTGACTACTAGTGTCCACTAGCGCAGCTGTGTAGGTGGGACGTTGTGGACTCCTCCGACCAGAGGTCTCGGTATCCTTGCACACAACGCGCACCAGGGGGGGGGGGGTAAAAAAGAAAGAAAGAAGAAAGAGTTAGGCCATCAGGTAGTATGCTAGTCTGTGGTGTACACGTCGACAGCAATCCCACAAGTTTGCTCGAGGAGGTACTTGTACACTGCTACTTTGAAGCGTTGCAGCGCTGCCTTGGATGGGGAGCGTTCAGGATGGCAGAGAGTAGAGCATTCCATGTTGTTAGTAGGCCGAACGGGAAGGATCGGTGTAGGATGTGAGGACTTGTTGCGGGGAGGGGTTTGACAACTGGAAGGCATGGGAGTTTTTCACTTGATGTTGGTGGCGGGTTCTGGGGCGGACGGGCTCAGGGGCAGCAGGTGGCAGCATGTCTATCAGCTGGGCTGGACCGGAAATGTAGTGCAGCTTGAACAGGTAGCACAGTCCCGAGACTTGCCGAAGCACTGATAAGCTTGGGAGCATGGTCCCAGCGCCAATGCTGCGCATGCACCGTTGCTGGATGCGGTCAAGCTTCGCGAGGTTGGACCGGGCTGCGCCTTGCCAGATTAGGGGACATATTCCATGTTTGGGCGGATGAAGCCTTTGCATACGCTGAGGCGGCCGTTGCGGTCGAGTACTGGGCACACCTTCCTGAAGAAGCCAAGGCGCTGGCTGGCTCTGACTGCAACCTGGTGGAGATGGCTGCGGAACAGCAGTTTGCGGTCGAAGGTCACACCGAGAAGCTTAACATCGGTTTCCTCTCTGATCACGGTACCATCGAAGCTGAGAGAAGAGGGTGGGAGGGGTGTTGATCGTCTGCTCATCGACATTTCCTGGCACTTTGTTGGCTCAAACTGGACCTTCCATCTCGATCCCCAAGCTTGGAGCTCATGGAGGGAGGCTTGCAGTGAGTTAAAAGTGGCGGGGGACACATCATCGGCACGGATCAGGCAGTACAGTGTTGTGTCGTCTGCATGCGACGCTAGCTTGCAGTCAGGGGAGACACTATCAGAGATGTCGTTGACATAAGGAAGAGCGTTGGTCCTAAGCTGCTGCCTTGCGGCACACCGGCTTGGATTGGGAAGTGCGAGGAGGTCTGACCACCAACAACAGCCCTTATCTTCCTTACCGGAAGGTACGAGCAAAGCCAAGACAGAATTGACCCGCCAATGCCGGACATTTCAGCTTTATGCAGTATACCAGTGTGCGAAACGATATCGAACGCACCAGCTATGTCGACTGCAAAAGGCCGAGCGATTCCACTATGCCGGACCACTCATGATGGAGGGCAGTGAGGAGGTCGGCAGTTCCAAGTCCACGGCGGAAGCCAAACTGCCTGGGAGATACTAAGTAGGACCATGTGACGTTCTAGGTGATTGACAATTTGCCTGTTGATGATAGTCTCAGAATGAGAGGGGATATATTATTAATTAAATCGCCTTCTCGTGTGTGACCCTGGACGGAGTGCTCTTCAATCAATCGCGAGATCTAGAGGCTATCGTACCCTCACACTCACAGCGACAGTGGGGCAGCGGGAGCCTTCTGTGCACGCCGCAAACCTGTCACATCTTTTCCAGAGAACTCGGTATATACTGTACCGGTCCGGGTGTCCCCGACTGAATGAAGCTCGAGCTTAGCTGTCTTTCTGACTGTCGCCTGTCGTTCATAGTCTGGTGTTATAGACGGGACTGGAGACTAGTAGGAATAGAGACTAGAAGCTAGGCCAGGCGCCAAAACAACAATGCTTCTACATGTACATGTATGTTGATTATGGAAAACCCTTTACGCGTTGACATCGCCAAGCAAGCTTGGCTAGTCTTCGCTCAGGCCAAATGGAAGGAAGAATGAGGAACGAGCGGGGTCAATGAGGTGCTAATACGCACGCAACAGCAGAATAACGACGTTACGTTAGGAAACAAAGAAAAAATAATTATCAAAACTGTGTTGCCTGATACATAATATTATACTATTAATATTATTGTTTGTTACCCTGGTTACCCTGGCCGTGTGCAGTGGAAGGTCACAGTCGAGTCAGCATCTGAGCCAAGAATAGAAGATTCCTTTTATTCCAGCCGCGAGGTGATAGATACAGTACCGACCGTTACGCGTTCAACAGTACATAGCCATTGATAATCCTGTTGAAAAATCTGTCCTGATGCTGATCGATGCTAGGTAGTCAATGGCTAGCTTGGAATGAATCAATCAGCTCTGCACCACACGTACCTCCGGTAGTTGGACATTCTGCCTTGAATCAATGAATCCGGATTCGTGGTGTCAAGAAAACTGAAAGGCGTTGGAAAGCGTCCGGTCGGTCTATTCATACGTTCAAAATAGCTGTGAATTTTCTTTATAACGTTCTCGCGTAAGCCTGCCGCCGATGATGCGAGCTTGTACAATTGTGCATCCAAACACAATAATATTATTTAATATGTAATTGACACATGCACTTACTGCTGAGCAGCAAGCTGCTGCGCTCTCTGCGCCGTTCGGAATGCTCTGGTCTTATGATCTGTGCTTAGACGCGACACTTCGCCCGCACGAGCAAAGAAGCAGCGGAGAGGTGCCATCAGTTAGTCCACGGTGGCCATGACTTGGAGATTTCACGCTGTTAGACTCTCCCCGGTCGGATTATCTTGTAGAAATACATTATACTCATGTAGTTACAGATCTACCTCCAGACTATTCTTGTGCACTCAAGCAGGTAGGCAGAAGATTGTCTTGAGTCCGAATTGCAGCTTATCAACTTCTCCTATTCGCTTTAGAAGATTGCCACCACTAGTGTAAACCCACGGCACGATGTGCTACTGCCGCTAGTCTCTTTGAGTTTTGGCTTCAGGCAAACATAAGCAGGATCAATTTCCACAGACAGCACAAGGAATAAGAAGCGGATCCGAAGAGCAGCGAGTCTGTTGTGTGCAGTGCAGAAACACTGCACTGTACTACAGGGATGACGATGTCGCGTCGTCATAGCGTTCTCATGCTCCTCCCCGATACCTGGACGAGGAAATACCGAGATCGGTAAGTGGCAACGACTATTCGGTGACTTGATTATACTGTATGTCTATTGCGAGTATCGTGCGCATTGCATTAGGCTTCGGTGAGGCTTAGTTACCTAGCAGTAAAACTAGTGGTAGGGGACTTCTGGGAATGTCAACAACCAATTGACGATGTGCATTAACTACAATGCAACATTGCTTCCACGTCCATCTAACAAACGCAGAATGCATCATTGACGTGCGATTTCTTCCTTCCTCCTTCCTGCCTGCCTTCCTTCCTTCCAACTCATCTAGCCTACATTGCAGTCGGCTCTGGCACGGAATCCAGGAAAGGCCTAGGTAAACAACTAGTAGTACTGTGCCAAGTCAGCCGAGCCGTTTGCCACGGTGCGTGGTCATGACGTGGCTGCATGTTGTTGTTGTTTTCTTTATTTGCAAACCAAACGGTCAGAACTGTCCAGTGATAAGGGAGCGAATGGCGAGCATCAGATCACAATGCAGCGAAAAAGAGCTCGGGGCCAAATGAGACAGAGTAACCGGAGGGTATGTTCCTGCACTGGTACAAACTACAAAGAGGCGAGTGACGAGAACGCTCGGGACACATACAGTGGTGGCCAAAAGTCTTGTCCGCAGGTGGATTTCTCGGTTATATTCAACAAAATGGCACAACAAGCTGTACACCTGTCATTTTCTAGAGCAGATACAAAGTTTAGAGGAGAATATTCAAAAATATTTCCCAAAAGTATATTTTCTGTGTCCCTATCCCTAAGTATGGCAATGTGCGGCCGGACATCACTTTTGGCCAATATTGCACAATCTACAATACGCGGCGTAGAGTCAACTATTTCTCATCTAAACTGTTCTAATCCCTACAGAAACTAAGGCCAGACTCTCTGGAGTCAGCCTGTACCAATTTACTGGGCCTCCTTTGTTCTTGATCATAGCTGCCATGCGGCGCGGCATCGATTCAACGAGGCGGCGGCAGATATCCAGTGAAATCGAATATCATGCCTGCTTGCACTCAGTGAAGAGCTCACCATCGTTTTTTGCCCTCCTGCTGCCCTGGCGGTGCTGGCTGAGCATTTCCCATAGATTCTCAATGGGATTCAAACCTGGTGACTGTGGTGGCCACTCCATCACCGTCAAGTCTTGCGTCGCGCGCCATGCGTTGGTTGCCTTGGCTGTATGTTTGGGGTCATTGCCCTGCTGAAAAATAGCCTGTTCATCAGCAAAAAGGTCAGTCATTGACGGCAGCATGACATTTTGCAGAATGCCCATGTATTGGTTGGCTGTCATGATGCCCTCGACCTTGAAAAGCCGTCCAACGCGCGTCGCCGACAAGCATCCCCATACATGATATCTCCATCTCCATGCTTCACAGTACCACGCAAACAATTCAGGCTTTGTCGTTCTCCAGGCTTCCAGCGAACAAACCTCACTCCATCAGAGGCATGGAAGTTGAATTTTGACTCATCAGTCCACAGCACACGACTCCAATCTGCCACTGTCCAGTTCCTGTGGGCCTGGTCAAACTTTAGTCGTTTTTTCAAATTTTTGGCCTACATGAAAGGCTTTTTCACGGCGATGCAGCCCTTCTGGCCTGCGTTCTGCAGCCTCCTGCGCACCGTTCGTCCAGACACCCACCTGCATGAACCCATCTGCTAGGTCGTCTCAGCTCTCAGTTTCGGGCTGGTTTTGAATCTATCTGCCATATGGAGTATCTTTAGACGATGGTCGTAGCTGGCCCTGGTCACCCTGGGCCGGCCAGAACACTTCTAGTTTTCAACACGTCCATCGACATGATGTTTGGCAATGACTCTACGGCACGTACGCTCGTTCAGGTCCAAAATCCTGGCAATCTGACTACATTTTTCACCATTCTGACTCAGCTTTACAATGGCCAGCTTCGTGCTAGCATAGAGCTCTTTCCTGCCAGCCATTGGGGTCAAAACGAAATCTCTCGGTGACAAATTCACGCCAGGACGACTCCTGAAGCTCTGTGCTTGCAAGCTTTCAAATTCCCGGCATGCATGGCCTGTCAAAAACTACGGTAGTACGGTACAATGTGCGTACGCATTTTTGGCCAAAAGTCATGTCCGCACGTGGCAGCCATTTGTGTGACGTAATAGGTCACGTGACATATATGACGTCATGCTTGCCCCCGAAAATCGATTACAGACCGCATTGCAAGTCATTGAAAGAATCACCAGGCCAGAATAACCAATCTCACTCAACATTCACCCATTTTTGGGTGCCGGACATCACTTTTGGCCACCACTGTACATGTACATGTACATGAGCATACTACATGTACAGTGCTGGCAACTGAAATCCGACCCCCTTGCCGGCGCGCCGGCCCGGCGAGGGGGTCGGATTTCAGTTGCCAGCACTGTACATGTAGTCACTAATTGTGAATACAGTTGAACATCGATTATCCGACCACCTCTGGGCAGACAACTGTCAGGCGGTGTTCAGATAAGGCAAATGTTCCGGATAAGAAAAAACTGTCACTCACACACTTTCAGTGGTTATTACTAGCCGCACGACCTTTTTACTTTTTACTTTTCAAAATTTTCGTATTTTTTGAATGGCTCACTACATGCACAGTGCGTACTCTACGGCACGTGCGCCCAAAAAAACTGTTACGGATAATCGAATGGTCGGATAGTCGATGTGCATATACGCGATGTTCAACTGTATGCTTCTTATACAGGCAATCACAGAACATGGTATCACTGGCCTGACACAACAACCAAAAAACAAGATATTTTTTGTGAAAAGAAAAAGGAAACGAAACTTGACAATCGGCACACAATGACAACTCCTTTCATGATACTAACAGTTTGCAGTCTCTGCTAGATTAGTCTGTATCCGTTGCCCGCCGACAAGCCGGGCTTCGGAAACAGGAACATTTGGAGAGCCGTCATCCATCCCCCTGCGTAGTCCCTAATCGATGCATGGAGGAAGCTATCAACACTGATGATAATCTGGTCTAGGCTATCGACATAATGAGGCATTGTAGCCATTCGTCATCGCATCTCTCCGCCCCACACTCATTTCCCGAACAATGTCCAGCCTTCCCACGTACAGTGGCAAGGGGAGCTGCAGGCTGCGGCGTTGAACATGGCTGACAACCATTTTAACGTGTTTGTGCGCCGGGGAGGCTTGAAAAGAGTTGGAATCTCCGAAGTCGAGGGCTCAGATCGAGAGTCACAGTGTATTGCTAAATTTAGTATACTATGCTAATGAGCAGTTCAACATACTACTCTCTCTGGCTCAACTAACTTCCATGACGGAGTTCTGTCCCTGACTCCCTGTGGGTCCTGCTCCGAGTGCTAATGACGTTATACTTACAGAGGCACCAACCCTAAGGCAGCACAGGAGCCACAGAGAATGTGACTAATACACTGCGCAGTGACTTCTAATATTCCTTTTGTTTACTGGCTGCAATTTACCCTGGTACCGGACATAGCCTTTGCTTGCCTCTTGTTGCCAGACTTTACATGGTCGAAGCAGCTAGCTGTCCGAAGATTGACCAAGAGAAGGTCTGATAGTGGCTGATCGATGGTAGAGTACTAGTACCCAGTGCTATCCATAACCACCGGTCTACGCGAGTGCGTTTTGTATTCGCAGTAGGTCAGCCATTCCTTGACATGTGGCGTCTTATCTGTTACCAAACCCTTGAGCCAGAACGTGTCTATCTTGGTCTACTAGTACTTGTCCATCGCATTGTGCCCTATGTCTTTCTATAAGCACAACTACGACCTCCTACATTGTACCTACAGAACTGGACGGGATGAAAATGAAAGTGAGAGCACAACTGCGCGATTACTCTACGTAAATCAGTACTTCGAAGTTCATGTACATACACTTGTAATCGTTGCATGCATTCCAGGAAAAGAAGAAAACTCAAAGTCAAAGGCGCCACATGCGCACTCAGCTGCCACTACTGCACCACTGCTGTCTGAATCAGTGAATGAAGCGACTCGGACAAGGAATGCCTGATACGAATGGTTAGAACGCACAAGAATCTATGTTTACGCTCCGTATACCATGGCATACATGTACAAAGTCATGGTCACAATGGCCAAGATTGCAGTCAGGAGCCATAAAATTATACTGCATATCATTGCAGGCTGCTTTTCCAAGGCTAAATGACACCCTGAAGCAGTAAAGGGATGACATTGTGGCCAGACGAACACTTTTTTCAAGTATTCTAGGAGCCCCAAGCACACAATCAGAACAATTTTGTAAATGAACAATGACTATGAAGGTGAGCTGATTCAGTAATTAAATCAAGTGACGCTGGCCATGCCATTTAGCCAAGCCCGTCATCCCATCGGTTTTGTTTTATTATTTCTAGGGAAGCAGCCCCACAATGGCCACGTGTTCTGGGCTCGATTGTACTTATCGTAGTGGTCCTGCATTGGTTCAGTCATGCGTTTGAGTCAGTGCAGGCACTGCAAGACTGAGACAACTGGAACCAGTCACCTACATTTTGTAGTACTAGTAGTGCTTTTCCAGTGTCGCGCAACTGAGCGAGTCGATAATCGGCTGGTACATAATAGTATTAATACTGCATGTCCACAAAGGACGAAACAGTTTTGTCCGCAGATTGCATGTACATGTACATGTACATGTACATGTACATGTACATGTACATGTACATGAGTGTACAATGTCATGTATACATTGTATGTAGCAGCAATAAGGCCTACATGTAGAACATACATGGTAAACGCGAACAGCTCAACTAGCAAAATTAGAAACGGATGAAAAATTGAAAATATGGTATGGCAAATACACAGAAACGCCCTTGGTATTCTTGGGTCAAGATAGATAATACTCAATCAAGATACATCATTACAATCATGTAGAATGTAGAAGGTCCCTGGTAGATCTACGAGTCCTGGCGGTGACAGTCGATTTCTTCTTCAGACTTTTTTCCCTTTGCATTCCCTCAACTTACTAGCGTGAACTAGTAAATACAAGATGGAAACATGCATGTACTTATGCCAAGGGACAGTTTGCGGCTATTTCACTTGACTGGCCATGGTGGTTCTTCGGAAACTCAAATGTCCTGAAAGTTTCGCCGGAGGCGCGGTGAGGTTTCGCAAAGTGTTTGACCGCACACTGAGCGCATTCACATGACTGTGTATGAGGAGTCTAGAAGTACAACGTAGAGCTGAGGTGAGGGTGATGCGATCCTCACCTCCGGGTCATTACTGTACACAAATTCATACATGTAATTGTGACCACGAACTGACTATGAGCTGACTGTCATAGTCATCAATGGTCACCGACTCACACGCGACAAATTCACCCCACCATTCCTTGAAGGAGGAGGGGGTAAATAGAAACAAGTAAAGGAGGAGAAGAAGGAAAGAAATCGAGCGAGCTGCAACTCCCGGTGCCTAACGGCGGGCTCACGCCCCTACATGGCTACTTAACTTCCCCTTGTCTAACCCCAAAGACGAAAATGATAGTGAGAACAGAGAACTGTGGAATGCCCATGGAAAGAAAGAGGTGGGCACAGGTAACACCAAGGCAAGAGGCCATACGTTATAACCAGGTTATGCCAGGTATGGCCTTGCCCTTGGTAACACTACAAACTGGTCTGTGTACCATGCATGGTGTAGATCTACGACTCGTAGCTAGCTTAGCTACTGACTAGTCGACTACATCACGTATTATGTAGTGCACCTACACGTCGTTCTGAACTCCTGAGTCCTGACACCCGCCTCGGCATGACACAATCACTCAGATAATAAAGAATCGCGCACATGGGTCACACACCTACATGCACATGACTGTAGTCCTTTGAAGATCGACCAGCGATCATCTCCACATCAGTTCGGAGCAAGACGATCCTTGAGGCATGATATCGACCTTCCCTGGAATGAACTGCAGTAATACCATAATAATAGATCATGTGAAGGCTTCATGACATGAGGTAACAATAACATTAGTTCACGTTTAGGAAATCAAATGTTGAACGGAGATAAAATTTAGTGATGATTGATTTCGTCGGCCCTCTTTGTGTCTGACGGCAAATCCGCGTGTCTATCACCACGATCACACTGACGAGTGTGACTTCTCACTCTCAGCTCTAGCTCTTCACACTGCACAGTCGCGTCTCGCCTTTCTCGGTCCGTAGGTCAAGCGCCCTTGATACATGACATTGTACAATGACTACGTACATAACTGACAGTCTGTACATCAGTACACGACTGCATGCAGACTCCGCACATACCGTCGATGCATAAACCGACTGTCTGCAGCCTGCAGGTGCCTCGCTAGCTGCAGATCGCAGATCTAGAGTGCAGTACACATGACTGCGTGCACGCGTGCTGCAGGATGTCCACACACGCAGGACTCCGGTACCGGCGCTACAATCTGCATCATGTGAAAGCCATCTGGCTACACGAAGCAGGAGTCCAGCACAACACGTTGAACTGAGTTTTCAACAGTGCTAGTGACCATCGCGCTGGAAAGGTATCAATCCTCAAAGAAACCCTACTGCGACGACTCGTGCTGCAACGGAGTGGCTGGACGTCTCTCTCTACAACTAAGTACAGGGCAGGAAAGACTGGATAAGCGTGTGCTGTTGGATGTAAAATGCGCTGAGCAAAGGCCCCGGGTGGTAGAGAGAACGAGGGACCTGGAGACGTGCAGTCGTGGAGCGGAATCGCCACATCTCGTCAACATTCACGCTGAATGATTCTCCTGTGGCTACGCAGCGTGTAGTGATTGTGCTATTATAGAAGCCGGAACTCCGTCTCCCGATTGTCCGATCCGATTCTAGTCTCCGCTCAAACTCTCCGGCTTGCTTTATGGCTCGGATCGAACTTGGCGTTGGTTTGCCGTGCAACTAGGCCGCTACTACTAGCGCCCATTCAGTGGAAGTCCAGCGCTCAGGCCCGACGCTGAGTTCGTGACTTGTGTAATTATTTCTGGTGCAGAATGGAGAGCCGATGGGTGACTGTGCACTCAGGAAGCCTGCTGAAATGCCCGTCGAAGAAGAGCAGAGTACGAAAGGTAAGCGCTTGCTATGGGTCTGGGATATTTCGGGTGCAATGAAAAAATGTGCGAATACAATCATGTGCATGGCCTACATGTACATCCATACGTCATTATGGACCATAGCAGTATTGGGACGTGGATCGGGGTGAGCTTGAACAGTCAGTCCTATTTCATTGCTATTGGGACAGATGTAGTGGAGTGATATTTTCTCCTTGGATCCTGATGCTTCCATGTGTTTGGTTACAAAATAATACAAGTAGCTGGAATGCGTGAAGCAACAATAGTTGGGCTGTGGCCTATTTCCAAAGAGCAGCCTGTCACTCCACCCAGGAACACTGAATCAAAATAGGTGGAGCGAATGACTTCCATTCAATTACTTGTACGTTAGGTTAGAAGTGCAGGTGATGTGTAAAAGCAACAATACAAATACAAATACGGCGCGTTGTGTAGTCCATATATTATTATAATTCTCCTGCGCCTCACCACAATGGGGTTTGTACTCGTACGCGTCCTACCTGCAGAGTTTTCATGAATATGCTCAATGTTCCACGATTCTTGTGGAGCTTTCACTGCAGGTAGTTAAGGCGTCTTTGTTAGTGTCTGTAGTCTTCGAAACCCTTCACGTCGTGTTGTTCTGTGTGTTGAGGTTCAGCCATGCTGTGTGCTACATGTAGTACCATTGTGTGCGTTCTCATTCCACAGTGCTCGATGCACACACACACACACACACACCTTGAACCTTGAACGTGCCCGTTGCCGATGGCAATGATAGCGAGGACACACACACACACACACGCACACACATACACATACACACACACACACACACACACACACACACACACACACACACGTGCACCCTCTGGAACTGTACATACATGTACAATAGTGTCTCTCCCTCTCTGTCTGGGTCACGTTTTGTTTGTGACCGTACAAGCGTTCGAACCATTTTGGGCCGCTTCGGCAATTTGAACGGAACAGTCTATAATTATTATAAATTTGTCTGAGCGAGACACAGCAGTACGCCGTGGCCTGTGATACAATGGTGCAAGGTGATACTGAAGTGACCTGTGGTGTTGGCGACAATGTGCACATGGTTGGGTACTTGTAATATGGCTCTTCGCTCACCAGCGGGGTTGTTGGCTGCCCCCACTGGTAGATATGCTGGGTGACTACCCCCCCCCCCTCCTCTCAGCTGCTTGACATCCGATAGTTTTCAGCGTACTTTCGTCTTACCAATCGCCGTAGAACCTCCATTAGTCGCGGCCAACTCTCAACTAAGAAACTCTCAACGGCCAGAATGCATTAACGGTTCAGTCCCGGATGTTCCCAAGCCGGCTGTGATGTTCTTTGTGGCCAGGACATCCTGATGGTCTAGAGCCTGAGAAGACACGGATGTGCATGCTCCCTGGGATGTCCGCATTCGAGAGATTGCACTGTAACGTCATCTTGTATCTACAGTCTACACTCAATGGTAATAGCTTGCAGGTCTTCATATACTAGTGCGGTTTGTACCCCCTCCCCCCCCCCCCCCCCATCACACATTCCACCCTGCCGCTGCCACTACCACCGCCATCACCAAGTACGGTGCATGTCGTATGTATTGGCCTAGCGTCATTATCTGTTTGTGTTCCGTGTCCAGTTTTGTAAATACAGAGCTGATCGATGCACGGCCAGTGGTTAGCATCGTCATTGGATAACGGCACAGGTCTCCCCGTGCGTGACACGTCTAGGATTAGAAAGCCATAAACAAAACACAGGCACACGTGCAGTAGTCGCTCATGCATTTGAGATTTGAGGTACGTTCGATTGACCGATCACGGCCCGGCAGATGTCTTCCGGAAGATACGAATGCACGCCCCTATGGCATGTGGTTGTATATTGGGCACTATTTTCATGAATACCGGGAGGTGGCTTGTTAGCCTTTGTTTTGCTTGTGGATATTGTACCGACTAAACTTGATGGTGTGGCACTGTTGTAATGGTGTGGATGTACGACCTGCTCAGCTGCTCTATGTTTATCACCAAGAGTACATAAACCAGAGTGTGCAACTCGGGATGGTTCCTGTGGGAGCTTAATTCGTGCAGTACGTCATTTCTGACGGCATGGTAAGCCACAGGTACGGTGAAAAGTTGCGTAACCAGTCACGGTGGTGTGGGTCACTGAGTTCATCCTGATTTCGGGTTTTTTGATACAGATAGCATGGTGAATTTACTTGTCGGTGGATTTACGCAGCGTACACAGTCACACGAAAACACCGAAATCCTGAAGAAGGACATCAAAAATCAAGCAAACTTGGCTGATTTCCGGGCTATGAACCACGAAAATTTGAGTTGTACGCAAGTCGCGGCTTGGCTGACCTCATCAGGGTGACGTAGTGCACGAACTGCGCTGTTTCAGATCTGATATGCACCGTTGCACACTCTGGGTTATGTACTCTTGTTATCACTACTTCTGCAGCTCATCTTGACATAATAGTCAACCTCTTGAATAACAACCCCGGTTATAACAGCAACTCGAGAATAACGACACAATCTTCATACCCAGTAATCATTGAACTGAATACTTTTTTCAACCTCTTGGATAACGACGACTCGCGAGTAATGACACTTTCTCATGCTCAATCAAAGGTTGTTATTCACAAGGTTCCCAAACAGGCCACATTCGACAGAGGAAACCCACCACAGTATCAAAAGTGTGAACATCGGGGTAATTTGGTCAATGAAAAACTTTCGAGAGCTAATGCCGATAACTTCTGACATGTCCACCCAGTAGAGTTGTTCCCTTTAAGAATTGTTAAAAGGAAAGGTGCAAAGATCAAAGCGGGCTCAGCAGGATGTGGAATGCATTCAGTCCACGTTCTAAGTGGAGAATTGGGGACGAAAATGCCAGTGACAACTCGAATCAGCTGTTGTGTCATTGGTGCGCTAACTTTCGGATATGTGCATCAGGTGTAGCATATTTCGAAGGGTGTGCGTACATCTACTTGTATGCGAAGCAGTAGCAGAGGGGGCTGATCAATGGGATGTCATTAATTTTGACTTGGGTTTTGTCGTTGGGCCATCATGTCCGCAGTGGCAAGATGTTGTCTGGAGTGTCACATCTTTGCTAAGCCCGTTCTCCATGGCCACAGTACTGATCGCTATGCTGTGAAGCCTGGCTGTCTCTGGGTGTGATCACTCCTGACACACGCTGACCACACTGCTGTCAGGACGAGCCCCTGCCCTAGAAGAGAAGCTCAGTGTGAAAGGCAGCAGCAGTGTGGTGTCACGTGCGCAAGCTCAGTGCATTCGCGCGCCCTATGTCCCCCTGGCCTGCAGCCAGGGATCGGGTTAGAACCATCATTATTAGATTGTGTGTGCTTACAGCTGGGTGGAATTGTAGCGTACCAATCGGAACTGTTCGTGTTGACGTGCTGCCAGTGAGACATAATGCCAGCGATTGTTTTCCTTTGCAATACATAACCTATATCCAAACACGGCTGTTTGCGACTGGCAACGAATGCACGAGTAAAGGTGAAGTCTGGCGTCAACCGCTGTGAAGCGGCGGGAAGTTTGAATGAGCAGATCAATCCATCTGAAACCTCTACATGATGTGGTTGTCCGTACATGATTTAGCTTGCGCTACAGTGAATGCTGACTGCCTCTGGGATTGTGGTGTTCACTCCCTCTCTGCCTGTGCTTCTGTTAGTGGAATTAATAAGCAGAAGCAAAGCCTGCTATCACCAATACCCACTGCTGTGTGCATGGTTGCATGTTGTACAGTGACACATACAGGATGTGAGAGGCTGTTTCCAGTGTAAACTAAAGTTTTCGCCAGTATATGGAGCACTGTCAGTTCGAGCTACCTCCACTGGCACCGACTGTACATCGTAGTGCTATATGCAGGCAATCAGGAGACACAGTGTAAACTGATGGTAGGTATTGCATAGCTAGGGTAGAAGATCGTGACCAGTCACATCTAGCTCATCGATCTAATGCAGAGTGCATTATGAAGAGAACTGTGGCTATTTCCCCCCAAAACTGCCCTCAGGTAGAGGTGGAAACTGTTGATTTGGGCGAGTGTAATCAAATACTTGCGGTGTACCGCCTCGAAGTTGGATGCTGGATATGACCACCAGGCGAAGGCACCAGCAGATGTTGATAGCTGCAGATGTGATGAACACAAACTGACACATGGGCACACCTAGTTTGCGTTGAGGTATGCATCGACCTTGTTTTAGTACAGTCAGGTGACTGTACGTGCCGTATGCTGGGGTGGCGCCTCCCTTCCTATGTAAGGTGATTCATAGATGGGCAGCAGATGACAGCGGATGCTCTTTGCCACCGTAGGAAAACTCTCCCAGGAAGTGCATGTCCATCCAATCCACTAGCTTAGTTCTGCAGGCATGCATGTCCATCCTTCATATTAGTGCTGCTCCTCGTTTTGTGGAGCTCAGTTGGAAACTGGTCGGTGTAGACGCTTGGTGAAGATAAATTGTTGTCCTAAGTTATATTGTGGTAGCTACATCAGCATCGAGTCGGTTAGAGTTGAAGTGCATCGGTGTGGGCCTTGCACTCCTCTCGGCCAGTTGGGAGGCTAGCACGCATGGCGTGTAGAGCTGATATTCTGGAGCCGTGTGCTGAGACAAAGCTCAATGTACAGCGCCGGCAACATGCACGCACTCTGTCTGCTTGTGTGAAGGAAAAATGGAAGGTTAGATGTTGTGATCAAAGGCAGTTGTATTAATTAATCACCATGTAAATATGATAACTTTAGATGGTAATATGATAACTTTAGATGGTTGTTGCTGGCTAAGGGTCTTTTAGGGGCTCTGTTGTTCTGTGTTATATGCCTTGTAATCATGCCTTGAGCCAGGCACCCAAATCTAACCCTAGCTGACTTGCTTGTTCGTTTAACCACTGCTTGCTAGCCCCGGCCTTGCTCATCTGTGTGTATACACAAGTGCCCAGTCGATACAGTTCATAGCCTTGTTGCATGTGTGTTTCTTTGTGACAGTTTTTTTAAAAAGTTTTCTTGTCAGCTGTATCTCCGGTGTGCTTGTATGGCTTTGTGAGTGCCATCTGTGCTTTTTGTGAACCATCTGTTACATGATGTAGTGTTGTTTGTGCATTGTATGAATACTGTGGGCTGGAAAGTTTGTGTTTGTGCCGTGGCATTGACACTGGAAAGTCCAGCCAATAGATGAATGAAGGACCATGTACTCAGTGCATGTAGTGCATTTTGATTGTACCGTAATCCGCAGTGTGGAAGTCATGATCTGTCTCTGTCGATGGAAACCTGTACGGTGTTGTAATTTTAGGATTTTTGTGAGTGTGCCTTCCGTTATTATTGTGGAATAGTGGTGTGACACCTCCTTGGCTGTGGTTCAGTTTCTAGTGCGTGAATGAACTGTCCCCAGCAAGCAAGCAAGCAAGAGCTCTGCAGCAGTGATGAAAATGTGGTATGGATAATATCCCCCCCCCCCCCTTACCTGACCTTTCTGTGCTACACTGCTGATGAGTCAACAGAAGCACGAAGCATGCTAGCAGCCGTGTGACTGTCAGCAAATCAAGCACGATTACCCTGTCTGTTCCCAGCTGCATAGCCATCATACTTTGTCAGGAATGTCCAGTGAGCAGGCATGCTGTACCGTCGGTGCAGTATGCAGCCTAGAGTTCTAGCTGGCAACATGGGCACAGGTACTGATCATATCTGAAATGTGTGTTTGATGACTATGTAGTCTGTCAAAAGGGAAAAGAAGAAAGAAGCAAGAGATTATTCAGCCAAACTCTCAGCTACGTATCATGGAAATTAAGGAAAAGCGCCGAGACCAGAAATATATTGATCAAAATTCCTGTAGCTCGGTGGGTGAGAGGATGTTTGCTCATGTGCACGGGAGATAGCAGGAAGGAACGGGGAAAGTTCAACCTGCCACAAGCACTTCCTAGCTTGCCACTGACCTGCATCCTTCCATGTACTGGTGTGTTGGTGGAATGGGTGCCCTGGTGCGGAACACAAGAGCTCACTGGATGAGCATACAGTACTTCCTCAGCCATCGCATGGCCAATGTGCTCCGAAAAACCTTGTGTATACATTAGCCGTACAATCAGTCATGTTTGTGGGAGAGCGTCAGGAAATTTGGAAGCAAATTCATGCAAATACCAATCCCACATCCACACTACTGCAAATTAATTTGCCCAACACCCTTGTATGGCTGTGGAACTGGGGCAATGGCAGTGCATGTACACAATTCAAACTCTAAGGCTGTGTTCTCTTGACCAGTACCTGTTGCGTGTGATAGCGCAGGTGTGGGAAAATCATCTCTCACACCCGGCCTAGCAGTGCAGTAGTCAGGGTAGACTCGTTATCACCTATTCATGGTGGCACCGATAGTTGTACTTGGATGCAGTGCCAACTAAATTTTAGATCCTGTGATCATTTGAACAGTGCCGCTGGGCTAGCTGTAATCAGTGTTATGATTTTCATACATGGGTGTGCAGGACGGATCGGTTAGGCACTCTTGGTGCATCAGGAGTACTTTGGAAACCACTCTCTTGACTAGAGAGGTGCTGGACCCTTGCTCTCACTCTCAGTCAGCTCATCCCGACCATGTTTCATGGTAGTCCCAGTTACCATTGGTTTTGACATCCTTCTTCAAGTGGAGAGTCCGCACCTATGGACCTTTTGTTCTTCTAACACCTCAGAGTCGCCGGCCAAGTGGACCATGTACATGCACCAGCTTGGACTATTTCCACCCGGTGATCTAGTACATAACGTCTTGTGATAGTCTCTGGTGTTAACTTAAATATGTCATCGGTCCACAGTTCCCTGGAAAGGGGAAGATACTGTTGTCAAAATTTGACATCTTTGATTTTTGTACAAAATGTTATTTTCAGTCTGAGACTGGGTCAAAGTCTGACTGAATACTGGAATGCCAGCATGTGTACATGTACATAATCTTCGCCTCCTCGGGACTGCTAACTGCTTCGACCTTGTGAGGTCTCCTCAGCAGCCTGAGCTTAGAGTTACTGGCTGAACCGATCGCAATGAAATCCAGTGAATAAGGACTACTAGTAGGTATATGTGTATACCATGTACTGTATAACATGATGTATGTATGTACAGGGGTATCACCAGGCACCACAGTCTCCGCTGACAGGAAGTCTTCCAGCACAGAGACAGGGTTATGGTGTGCTGGGGGAGGGGGGGGGGGGCAGGATGGACAGATACATTGTTATCTTTCACAGGGATGCAGTCTGGTAGTGGGGTCTCTCTCTAGTCCGGAGGTGTGCATCTGTATGTGAGAAGGTCATGGTGTGTGTGTGTGGGGGGGGGGGGGGGGGGGATACAAAATGTAGCTACATGCACATGATTCAATCCTGAATACTAACTCAGTGTTGCAGATATGGATGTTGTTGTGCTTTCCGCTTTTAGAAAGCCATGTAGAGGTTTAGTAGTGGATATTGCATTAGCTGATAAGTGATTAGATACCGTGTACTACTGTAATATCCACAATGATGGGGCGGACACAGCACTGATGTCGTGATGATACTATTGTAGATTCAGTGTGTGTAGTGACATGCAGGTGCTGATTAAGACAATTACCTTATCTTGAAAAGCCTGAAAACCTTGCACATGTGACATGGTGCTGTGTGTACCATTGTAGTATGATTGTACGTTTTGAAGTGCACGTGTATATTACTGAAGTTGTAGGAGTACATCATGTGACAAAGGAAGGCTTCATGTTTGCCAAAAGTGTGTTCCGTATCCAGTTTGGCGGATAGAGCGATATCACTATGCCATGCAGCCCCGGCATCTTGTTGCACATGTACATGTAGCTCGGATGTGGTCTGATGAGTGCCAACGCACGAAACTCAGAGTTCTAGCAATATTGAAACCTGATGAGGGCTATTTTGCCGAAACGTTGCAAGAATTGATGAAAACAAATTCGATTCTTCCAGAGTGAATGCTGGGGGAAAGAGCAGGTCTGCTCTAAACTATTTCCTATGGATGAAGCTGCAGGACACCTCACCACTGGTACAAATTTCATAATCAGTCGCGACAATGACTTGTTATACTGTTACCAGTTCAATCTTTGAGACTTTAAACGGCATCTCTGTGAGCAGGCAGTGGAAGGAAAACGTCTAAAGCACCTCCAAAACAATGCTACATTTGCCATCTGGAATGTGATGTAGTTCACGTTTTGTGAAGATAATGAAGCCAATTGAAGAAAACCTAGTACCTCTCAATTGCCTACAAGTGCCATTCATCTGGCTGAAACTGTCATACTCTGTACCGAAGTCCTTGGCAAACTGGTCCCAGCTGTAGTCTCCATTTTAGGAACTGATCAGCAACAGCTATTCCATCCCTTCTGTGAGTGCATAGGAATGGATGAATGGTGCAGGCTAGGATAAGGTCCCTGGAGTGGAGTGTGATGGTGTGCTGTCTAGACAATCGTGCATGCACCATCTCATTGATTTCCTGATAACTGTAGCGTACTGCCATGACTTTTCGGCTCTGGGAAGCTTGCACTTCAAGGTGCAGTGCCAAACGATTCCGGGTCGCGGATTGTTTTGTCACAAGATAAGTAGCATGTCTCTTTCACTCTTATAATATAGGGCAATGTGTAAAAAGAACCTATTCCTTATTTGGTGCTTGACCATGGCTCATAAGCATGCTTGGGTAGCCTCATAAAATATTCAGTGGGGAAGGCCTACTTTTCTCTCCTAGTAATTGCCCGTGTGTACGCTCAGTCTTGCTGCTGTGCCTGCAAATGGCCTGGCTGTTTTCCTGGCAGACAAAAGTGTGACTGTCAGGTAGGCTGGAGTGTTTTATTGCTTGGGAAACTGTTTTCTACCTTGCATATGCCCAGCTCACTCATCTGGTGTCGCACTGTGCAACAGTGGAAATGAATAGCAGCGCTCACAACACACACACACACACACACACACACACACACACACACACACACACACACACACACACACACACACACACACACCATGACGTACCTACACCCGGAGCGATAACAAAACCTCCAGGCCACCTGCACCACTGCATGTATGGATTGGCCAGGCAGCCTGCTCACCCAGCATCACTAGCAGCACCCAGTGCTAGGTATAACTGCTGCTTCAATAGTGCTCATTTCACATAAAGGTGAAGCGATTGAAGAACACTGCGAACAGTTTCTGCAGCAGCCACAGTGTGCACTTTTAAAGATTAAAACATGTTTAGTAGTAAACAATAATTGCAAGAAGGCAGACTTGATGTGTTCAATTGTGTGAGAATTTGCCCAAGAAACGTATTTCTTAGAAACTGTCCAGAACGTCTTTGTATCGCGAGGCATTCGATCAAGGGTAGTTTGTGGGGTCCGGGCAGACCTTGTTGTTGGACGGCTTTGGAACGTTGGTGATCTGCTCCATCTCATCGCTGGTAAGCACAAAGTTTAGATCTAGGTCTTCCTTCATGTGTTCGGGGTCCCACGTGCGCGGGTTGATCACGACGTCCATCTGCATGGACCAGCGAAGCGCCACCTGTGCCGGTGTCTTGCTGTGCGCGTCTCCGATCTTCTTCAGCACGCTCGAGTCCAGCAGCGAGGCGTTCCAGTGGTGACTGTGTGGTGCCCAGTCCGGAGTGGCCAGCGGCGCATAGCCGTTGAACACGATCTGGTGCGTCTTGCAGAACTCCAGCAGCTCAATCTCGTGCCAGTAGGGACTGAACTCGACCTGGTTCACGGCCGGCAGAGGGAGGCTGCTGCCCACCTGCAGGCTCTGGATGTGTTTGATTTCGAAATTGGAAACGCCGACCGCCCGCGCCCCGCCGCTGTTCAGTATTTCCACCATAGCCTTCCAGGAGGACTGTCGGCAGCTGTTGGCAGAGGCCGCTCCGTCCTGGCATGCCGGATCGGACGAGCCCCCGACCAGCGGCCAGGGCCAGTGGATCAGCAGCAGATCCACGTAGGTCATGTTCAGCGTGCTCAGGACCTCTTTGAACTGGTCCAGCGTCTCGTTGTACCCCAGTGGTCCGCCGCCCACCTTGGACGTGATGAAAATCTCGTCACGTGCAATTCCGCTCTGCCGCACTGCCTGTCCGACTCCCGGTTGATCACGGTAGTCTAGGGACGTGTCGATGCGCCTCCCTCCCAGCTTCAGCCACTCGCCAATGGCTTTGACAGCCACGGAATCGTTCCAATGCTCTCCGGGCACTTCTGGTCCGGGCGAGTAGCCGCAGGTTCGAGTAGCCGCAGGTTCCGATGCCGTAAACCGGCATTCTCGTACCAGGTTTGGCAGCATTTGCCAGTGCCACAGAGGGTGCATCGTCCGCCACGGAGTGCTGCAAAAGCAGCGTCAGAGCGACAGCGAGTATCCAAGGCAAACGCTCCATTATTCACTTTTCTTGCCTAGCCTTTTGGAAAAGATGAGAAAACAGAACAGCAGAATGACTGTGTTGAACTAAAAATCTTTTCCGTGAACATCTTCAAGCACGCGGCGCGCGTATGCACTTCGCCATAATCATGTCACGTCGATCGACCGGAGTTTGTTGACAGCGCTAGCTAGCCTAGGGTCGTCATGTGATGCGATAGATGACTGTCAATAAGATATGACAGGCGTTGCGACCTGCGCTTTTACTAGTTTTAGCGACGATCGCTCGTACTTGTACTTGTACTTGTAGGTAGTGCAGTAGCACCATCCGCCTAGCGTCTCTCGAGCTCCGGAGCTCCCGCGGGCTCAATTTGCGCAGGCCAGCGCTGTCGCTGCTTGACGGACGAATGACTTTCCGCATGCAGTACACTGGACAGGCACGGAGGCAGTCACCAGTTGACTGGCACTTGTCTTACTGTCTCGACTTTTAGTTTTAGTTTAGCTCAGGCAATGAGTCTTTGGAACACCTGAAGCACGATTCATGTAACATTGTTAGTGTTCTGGTCTTCACTTTGGCCAATTCCAGCAGTATGTGTCATGGCTGTGGTGTTAATTCCTTGTGAACTCTTCACTGTTGTGTGCGCGTGTGTCTGGTTGTGTTGCGCCATCCCATCATGTTGTTCTCATTGGCATGTTACTTAGTTGTCATGTACTATGTCATCATGACTTGTACTTGTACTTGTACGTGTACAACGAAAGGGAGAGAATCACTGGGTTTTACTTTTCTCTTAGTTTAACAGATAACACTGGTAAATAACGTGGAGCTCCCCGCTGTTTATATTGGCTGTTGCCGTGGGAAGGTGAATACATACCAAGCAGTCACCCGACAGCTAGCTACTTGCAAGTACAACATGTACAATTAAATGTGTGTATTATGTATTCGAACGTTTGGAATGTACGTACGGTGTAAATCTTTTGCACACGCACGCAAGCAGATGCGAGCGCATCTGCTTGCGTACTGCTGAGGTACAAAACATCGATTTTCGGCGAATTCAGTGCGAAAATTGCATATTCGGCGAAAAGATCGGTGATTTCTTCAAAACCACAGTCTTCGGCGAATTATTCGGCCGGCCGATTTGGGAAATGCCTAGGACCAGGGGATATGCATGCCATCATATTTCACAAATTACACATGCGTTTTTCCCGGTTTTCTTTCTCTGCCTGATTTTTTTGGATTGCAGAAGTGGCGACAGCGCTGGTACGTGCTGGTTAGCTGTAGTGGAGGCACAACTGTAGAGCTGCACCACTTCGACAGCGCCAAGCAAGCCATGCGCGGCGGGAGTAACCACGGCGTACGGTCCCCCAGCGCCATCAACAGCGACACCGTCGAGCAGGTGGCGGCGCTCTTCTCGCACCCGAAGCACGACAACGTCCTGTGCATTCGACTCAAGGATGAGCGGGAGGTCTACCTGGCGGCTCAGTCCAGGTTGGACACTTAGGAGTTTACACACAGTCATGTGGTTCTGTAGTGCATGCTTGCAGTTTTTCAACAAAAGAACGGCTTCTATTATGGGCAAAAGCAACAAAAATAATAATGATAATGATGAAAGACCAGGACGTAAACAGTTAAGAGTAGAGCCCACACGCTCTCTTCCATTAACACTGCAATATTTCAACTCATTTCACAATATTACAACACTTCTACTTACCAGGATGTAAGCAAAAGAAAATCACTGTGAAAACCTTTGCTTGCAGGTGCCTATTAGCGTGTATGTGTTCGTTCCTCTCTGGGTACGGTGTCTCGGCCCTATGCCTGTATGGTGTCAACCAGTCATAATTATGTCTTTGTTCTACACGAGGCTCAGTATTAGTGGAGACCATGGACCTTCATGCATCCCAAGAGTCCAAGACCATGCTTTAACTCACACTTAGACATGTGCGGAAAGCCTGCCGAAGGCTGCATTACGCACTGTGTACTGACCAACTTGACTGTTCACTCATACCTGTGTGCCTGTGCTGTATGTGTTTGTGTTTGTGTGCTGCGTGTGTAGCGAGGACATGGATGCGTGGCACACCGTGCTGTCGGATAGATTCAAGCAGCGCAAGGTTTGCCTGAAGGTCAGTGACAACAGCTCTCTGCGGCCACCAACACATCTGCAATGTGCTTATCTTGCATGTGGTGCGATGTCTTCACACTT